GAAGTGAAGCAAGATGTTTTTTTTTATTTTGACAGTCTATAAAAAAAGTTCTGAGCTAAAACATAGAACTTGAGCATTATCTTTAACTATTTGATGTAAATTCAATTTATTGTCTGTTTAATTATCGATTTTTGATTGGTTTGCACGAGAGGGTGACATTTAAAAAATTGTCTCCCTCTCAGCCATGGGATAGAGTAAATTGTCTCCCTCGTATTAGGCAATCAAAATCTGGCATTTTAATGTGAAGTATAATAATTTCAGTAATATAACGGCTGAAAAAACTATTGTCATATCATTCAAAAATATGAGTATTAGTCCATGTTCATATCATTAATTATTATAATGATTTTTGCTTTTAATATTTAGGCCATTTAAAATTAATTGATAGATTTTCATCCCCGCCCGCCCCTCTGAAATCGTTCTGCCCTGATTTTTTTTATTTTAAAAAATTAACGATTTCCTGATTTTATTCATTTCCGTTACCGGTAACCGCCGATAATTTGGGTCTCACTAATTAGCGACAAGAAGCGTCAAGAAGAATAAATTTAGCGACAAGAAGACTATTTAGCGACAAGAAAACTTTAAAAAAAATATTATTAGAATAAATATATTAAAAAAAAATATGCATTGACAGCAATAAAGAGATTTTCATTTTTTTTATTATATTGATAGATGAAGAAATAATTAATGAGTCAAGATAACATTTGGAGGTTTGCCTGTGATCTTAACAATTTCTTTCAAAGAATTAATATTGATGACAGCTTGCATATATCATCAGCAATATTTTGTTTGTTTAATAGGATAGGTACCTATGTATTCTGCTATTGCTTTATTCATGGTTTCAAGAGAATGGCCAGGCATTTTTTTCGAACCAGCTGATTATTTTCTTGTAAGAATTACTTCTTTTCATAGAAGCATAATGACGCTTAAGGATGAACAAATTAGAATCATGGTTGGAGTAAAGGACGTATGTCCCTTATTGTATTGCTACAATAACATTCAATTAACACCTATAACTTTGTACACGCGTCAGACTATACAACTACACGCGCCAGAATATACAATAATTGTAAATAATGAGCAACTGTTGAACACCCAACATTTTCTTTAATTACCTTTAATCTTCAATCAACTTTAAACTATGCATAAACATCATACATATCGTTTGATAAGTCAATACCCAAATAAAATATTCACGTTTTAGTAACATTATCTTTTCTGGACACTGATTCACGTATAATGCATTTTGCATGCAGTCAGTTTATTATATTTTAGACAAAGAGAGTGTTAAAAAATTTATAAAATAAATATATATTATTGTTCTAAAACACAAGAACATGTAAAAATTAATATCATACTATGACAGGGAAATTTCTATATTTATCAATATCTATCAATATATTTAAAAAAAAAAAATGAAAATCACTTTACTTTCCGTATATAAAAATAAATGTCAATGCATATTTTTTTAATATATTTATTTTAATAATATTTTTATTAAGTTTTCTTGTCGCTAAATAGTCTTCTTGTCGCTAAATTTATTCTTCTTGTCGCTTCTTGACGCTTCTTGTCGCTAAAATTCTTCTTGTCGCTAATTAGTGAGACCGGATAATTTCGTTTCATTCAAAACTTCCTGTAGTAAATTTCGGTTTTCGTATTTTTCCAAGTAATTTAACCAAAATGATTAAGTCGAAATATTCTGCTGTTATGATGACAGCATTATCTTCTGAGAATAGAAATTGCTTACGAGAAGGGCATGAAATATTCGGGTTACGAGTAACAGGCGGTGTCCAAGAACGCAAATTGCGGTGTGTCACAAATTTCAGTGATTAGAAACCTGTGGATTTTTTTATATATAAAATGACTTTGTGTCTGGAATTTTGGACTGCGGATGATATCCAAAGCGCAAGAATCGTGGAACACATTGCAACAAAAAAAACATGACTGGAATAAAGAAATTGACACAAGCACGAACTTGTGCGATCTATGACCATATATATTGAGTACAAAAAAGTCGGCCAACCTGGGACCATTATACTTGTATAATAGGCCCATGGCCAACGTACAAAATGTTTTATAACAAGCCCTTAGATTCACCCCAAGGCTGTTATTTTTTGTGGAATAAGAGCAAACATCATCTTCTTCTGATATACAATTTCAGCTTCATTTATATTGAAGGTTACGAACTGTTGCATGCGCGGAGTATGTGATTAAAAATATGTCCCCAAACCCTCAATAGAGTCATTAAACAACTTCTTCTTTTTGGTTAAGTTCATGTTTTACATTAAAATTGAGAATGGAAATGTGTTTTACAAAATGTACATTAAAATTGAGAATGGAAATTGTATTTTTTTCACGGCTGCATAAGAATCACAAGGTTCATGTGGACTCTGGCTAAAATGGCTGCGTTTTCACCCCAACATTTACTCTGAGTACAGACAAACTTGTGCATCTAGAAAAGTTTTAAGGCATAGCATGCCCTAGATAAATAAAATTCAACTGCATTGTATGTTTAAGAAAACATGCAGAAGATGATTAAATTAACAAACAGTTGAGTTTCGCTTGATATGGTGTTGGTCCACTCAGGTACACAGTTTCATCGCCAATTATTGTCGGGTATCTATTGTCCATCTATTGTCCTTGTAAATCAATACAGTTCACTTCAATTATTTCATGTGGGAAAGTTCTCAAACCTTTCCCAACTTAGTTTATTTTGGCACCTTCTGGAGGAATGAAAAAAAAGTGCAATGGAAAATCCTGTTAAGTTTTTAATTTTCTAAAACATACAATATATTTGAATTGTATTTATCTAGGGCATGATTTCCAGAACCCGTCTGTACTCAGAGTAAATTTTGAGGTGAAAATGCAGCCATTTTAGCCAAAAGGTCCACATGAACCTTAAAAGCATAAACCCTGGTATTTTCAACACAGTTTGAGTTTTTATTTCACTCTGTACTCATAATACTTGTAATGGGCGCTACAAACCATAGCTAAGAAAGCAAAAATAAATTTGATGTAGGTAGTCTAAAAGAGAGCATTTATCCAACTTTTTGCTATTCACTAGAAATAAGTTTCTAAAGCGGTAATTACATGTAGAACAGTGGATGCCAATCAGAAATATTTCCTTGTATATACATGATATAAGCTTAATATTACCCTTGCATATGAACAGTATGATTGAAACCAGCCCCCATTATCTACAAAGGCAAATGAATAGTGGGAGCTGGTTTTAATCAGACTGGCATATGAAGAACACGTCACAAAAGGGTTTCGGAGGAAATACAAATTAAAAAATAAAATCCTCCCACCCGCCCCATTTTTTTCAAACATTTGGATGAAAATCTACTAATTAATTTTAGTTGGCCTTACTGCTTAAAATTTAATAAGATTGTAATGTCATATTTCATTTATGTATTGTCACTGGATATAATTTTTTGAAAACCACAATACCATGAATTCTGCTACAAAATTTTTTTCCAGTATTGTAGGGAAAAAAGTTGTATTACATTTTCCCGGCTTTAAATTGGCCTTTTGAATTCCCAAGGCAGGTGAAGGAAGTCAACATAGGAGCGCTGCGATTGGATGTTTTTTTTCATTTATCTATGAATAACTGCAGTGTGTATATTTACAATATAAATATTGAAACCCATTGAAATATTTTCTTGAGAATTATTCGAAAAGACTTCCAAATTTTCATAAATTTGATGTAAAATGACGATGGGCATGGATACCATAAACAATCTCCATTCGAAGATGGTCATCATGATCATGATTCTGCACTTCAAGTACTAATAAAGATTCTAATATGACGTGCTTCTTTCGCTTTGTAAACAACACCATATATACTTAGCGCAGACTCAGAGATGTGACCGTTACAATATACCTCCCACGTAAATCCACATGTATCCTAACCTATGTGCAAACGCTATGCCGATTTTGCTATGTTAAAAATTGCAATTGAAAAAAACTACAGAACTAGTATTCTTATTCTGATGCATAACAAAAAGAATTAGCGCATTAGAGCTCGGAAAAAATGTGCAAAATCAAAATAAAATTAAAGTCTGCGAAATTCCATTAATGCTTTTGGCGCATCAAAGGCATTTCAAAACATGACATCATACGAATGAAAACGCTAAAGCCAAAGCTTTTTCCGTTATGTGAACCCTCCAAATTCGGATAATGTTGCATTAAAATGGAGTTTTGAGGTAGGTTTTGTTTTATTTTCTATTCTATTGCATTATTCGCAGATTTACTAATTTCAGCAAGTCAACATGGTGGCTCCTTAGTTACGGAATGTCAACTGTGGATTTGACGGTAGCTTACGAGAAAAAAATGTTATTTATAAATGGCAAATGTCCTGAATGTTCGGGTTGAGATTTAAAAGAGTTAAACACATTTTTTCTAGCAGTTATTTAAGAAATAATTCATGCAAGCTATAGATTTATTTGAAATTTTTAGCTTTATCTAACAGGGGGTAAAATAGAACAGCCACACACACAACATACCCACCCTCGCTTCAGTTTTTTTAATTACCGTATTTGTCCCATTAGAATCGAAATAATTCATGGAAGCCAAAGATTTGTTGGAAATTTACACATGGCCCAGTGAATTTCCAAAAAATCTATGGCTTCTATGAATTATTTCTTAAATAATAAAGTACTAATACCACACATAACTGTACAGTTTTGTCCAGGCTTTTATTCTAAAAAGTGGTAAATTTAGAAAATGTTAATATTGTCGCATATGGCAGAATATATACTACCGTTTTCCCTGTAGACAATACTCGTAGATATACAGTATTGCGACCGCCAAGTACAGGAGATATTTATGATCAATCATGATAATTAGATTGGCAAATAAGCCAGTTGACATAGACAAGTGCCAGTGGTCTAAACACGTTATCACATCTGATGAATATCACGATCCTAAAACTATAAAAGCTATTATGATACCTTGGAAGAGAATAACTAACACTTATTGAAATATCTCAAAAATTATACCTATTTTTCCGTGTCCAGGAAGCTTTCGACAACCCGGAAGATTAATACATATTGTAAATGCAGAAACATCTCGGGCTAAATTCCGCATTTGACCATAGAAAGAACATATGTCATACCAAGAATGCTATACGGCTTTGAAATTCTTAATTTTACTAAGACAGACATTTTAAAATTGGAAAATTTCCAGAAAAAGACATTTAAATATCTGCTATCTCTACCACAACGAACTGCAGACGCTGCAATATATATTTTGCTTGGCGCAGAATCCATTGAACGTGACAACTCTCACCCATAAGGCAATGATTTCTCTATTCCTTAGAATTTCAAAAGATACAAATTCAATTGAGCATAAAATAGGAATCAGACAATTAGCAACAAAAGATGAGAACTCCAACAGCTGGTATATAAAAGTGGATAATATTCTCAAGTCATATGAATTGCCCTCTGCGCATTCATGAGATAGTCTTAAATCCAAAGAAAAACTGGAAAAGATTGACCCATGATATGATAGATTCAACTTGGAAAACAAAATGGTCTGAGATAGCTGAAACAAAATCAACATTAAATCATATGGAAATAAGCAAATGGAATTTCCGAACTTGCCTAATAATTGTTGGAGCAGTGTCAGAGACAACAAAGAGATGTTGCTAAAGGCATAATTAAATCCAGAATACTGACTGGGACGTATAAAACTCAAAGTATAAACAACCGCTTTGATTCAACAAAATCTGCAGAGTGCAAACTATGTGTGGAAGAAACAGAAGACTATAAAAATGTTCTTATTAACTGCAAAAGCCTTAACTCTGTCAGAAAAAAATCACCATATCAGACTCACACATTTGATGATTGAAAATCAGATCAACTACAACTACATCATTGAATCTGAAAATGATCTACTCCAATTATTAGTTGACTGTTCCACCAACAGTCGCATACCAAAATCTCAACTAGTAGCTTTAGAACTGAGAATTTGCACAGACTAAGTATATGCATTGCATACCTAGAGAGCAGAATTTCAGTGAAATATATATAACATTTATACTCTGCATACCAATTGCAAGACTGCAGAAATTCGGTGAAAGATGATAAACATTTGTGCTTGACTCTTTGCTGGTGAACATCACATTATATAAAAATCTAGCCAGTGTCGGTCATGAGAATGGATATAAATAAGAACATATCATTAATGATATTTTTCTTTGTCATTCCACCCTTAAATACTCCATTGAAATAGAGAATTAAACCTGTTGCTGAATGATAAATAATATCTAAATTATGACCCTCAATGTTCTATTTTTAACATAAATAATAATACATGTTAAATGAAATTAGCAACATGGGTTAAAGAGTCTTTGGGATTTTAATGAAACATCTCAGTAATGAGGAACCTCGCTTGATTGTTAACTTTTTATCATTACTGACAAAAATAAATCTTATCACATATTTTCATCTTTTAACAAGACAAGACAAGACAAGACAATATTTTATTTGAGTATCACCTCTTATAAAACATTTACATAATATTACAACTTCACATATAAAACAAGAGCCACTCTAAAAAGAGTTATGAGAGACTATAAAATTGGTATATACATTTACATATATATATACATACATAAAATATAAAACATAAAACATAATAAAAAGTATACATTTTAAGAATATAATAAACATTTTCTTTTCAGTAAAATATCATAGCAGATTTTGGCAGTATACAAGTAAACATTTTCATCACTAAATAAAAATACAAATTTATCGTCATCTGACATACTATTAAAATCATGACTAAAAGAATAAGCATGATTAAACAATACAGCACGAAAATCTGCATATAGTGGACATTTCAAAATTACATGTTTCTCATCTTCAATGGTATTGTCATTACAATTAAAACATATTCTTTCATTAATAGGTAAGTTCTGATACCGGCCCGTTTCAATTTTTAAGGGCGCAACACCACAGCGAAATTTGGCAAAAGCACTTCTATATTTACCTGCAATAGTTTTGCAAATATAATTTTCTACCTTAAATTCTGTTTTAAATAATTTATAGGTATGTAGTTTGGCATATTCATTCGAAACCAACTTATTATGCCATTCAGTTTTATATACATCAATAGCTAAGCATTCTATATCCTTAATTACATTTATGGTTAACAATATATCACAATTACAATATGGTTCAAGATTATACTCTTTAAACTAAGTCATTACTCTGAAGCACCAGTTTTTAATTGTTTTATTTCCATACTTATATGACCTCATAAATACTCGTTTGTTCAATCTATCATTGTCCATTTTACAAAATCTGGACCATAATCTAAAAACAGCTGTCCATTGCTTTACATTACAAGGTGTCCAGCCCATATCACCATACAGAGATAAGTTTGGTGTATATTTTCCTACACCCATAACAAATCTCATCGCTCTGTTTTTAACTGCATTTATGCAAGTGAATTATCTTGTTCCCCATATTGAAGCACCATAATCGATGACTGACCATACAAGTGTGTCAAAAAGCTTTGTATAAGTAGAGTAACAAAAACCACCATTTGATTTACATTTTGCGATCAATAACCAAAGAGCTCTACTTGCAGACTTGGCAATAGCTTTTGCCATTAAATCATAATTTAAAAATTCTGTAAGATGTAAACCAAGGTAAGTATATTGTATTACAATTTCAATATTATCATTACCAAGCTTAAATGTATTAATAGACCTTGGAGATGAAGGTGTTCTAAAATGAATAATTTTAGATTTATTCAAATCAACACTAATATCATTTTTATGACACCACATATGTAAAACATCTAAGAGCATCTGTAAGTCTGATTCATTTTCAGCAAGTAAAACAATATCATCAGCAGAGAGCAGAATACATATTTTCTCTTCCTCTAGCGGAATACCAACATTTAAATTTTTAACCTCATTTACTAAATTATTAATAAAAATTCATTTACTAAATTATTAATAAAAATATTGAATAAGATGGGCGATAACACACACCCTTGTTTTAAACCACATTTAACATCAAACCATTGGGTTAAATTCCCATTAACTTTAACACATGACTGTACTTTATGGTATAAAGATTTTAAAGCATTCAACATTTTACTACTAATTCCTATTGACTCAAGTTTACAAAATAATAAGTGGACACTTATAAACTTATTAAGCTTAAGTTTTTTTCCATTTTTGAATTTTAAAATCTAATGTTCTAAGAACATGGCAGTATGATATGTACAGTGTAAATACAAGTTTTTTTTACCTTTTATCCCTATTATTTTTGTTTTATTAAAACAAAGTTACATATTTAAACTTAATAGAATTTTAATATTTTATAAAGTATAAGCATTTTTAAAAATTATCTAAACTAGTATATTTTTAAGCGGTGACCCTGCAAATAGGGTGGATTTCCGAAGAAGAAGAAGAAGAAGAAGAAATAGCTTAAAAAAATATGTCTTATACAGAGGTGGATAACTGACCCCTTGACTCCACAGGCACTTGTTTCTATCCATGGGAAGGTCAACTACTATCCATATGTAGCATCTGGATGGCCGACCTTCCCATGGATATAAACAAGTACCTGTGCTTGACCTTATAATGATAATATATAATATAATAATAATAATATATATAATATTCTTTATTTTATTTTATTTTCAGAAGGTTACACAGCTAACAAAACAATGTTAAATAAGTGTTATTACTAATTCTTTCAAAGATGTATAAAATAACTTATTCAAGTAATATTTTTGTCATTAGTTTTAAAGTAACCCTTTATCTCTATACTCCTCTCAAATTTAATAAATTCTTAATTTTATGAAATATAAAATGATGTAAAAATTCATGAAAACTTCATTTAGTCCATGCTTCTATTGAAATTTAAAATCACTCTATTGAGTAATTTTATAATTTTTAAAAACAAAAATTACCTATATAAGTAACTAAAAAAAATAACTTACTTGTTTAAGTAACGCCCTTGACTGTTAATTCTGTTTCAAAAACATTTTGGCTATTACCCCCTCGGCTCATACCCTAGTATTATAGCCGCTTATTTTATTGAACATTGTTTTGTGTATTGTTGTTTCACCAGTTCAGAATAGTTCTTTTCATATTATCTGAAGCGGGATAAGAAATAAGAAACCTGGACAAGAGAACAGGCAAATACAATTTTTCACTGAATAGTTTGAAATTTTCTTCAAACGGTTTGTCGCAGAAGGGTTAATGTCTGAAAAACCCTAATATCTAATTTATATGTAATGTCAAGTGGTCTCTCTCTCTCTCTCTCTCTCTCTCTCTCTCTCTCTCTCTCTCATTTGTTAAGATGTGACGATGATATAAACTGTACATTTGTTAAGATGTTACGATATGATATAAACTGTACATTTGTTAAGATGTTACGATTTGATTTGATTTGATTTTTGGTGTTTTAACGCCACTTTTAAGCACCGCTTTTGGGCTATTTCGTGGCGGCCAGTTTTTATTGGTGGAGGAAGCCGGAGCACCCTGAGAAAACCATCGACCTTCGATAGGAAAACTGACAATCCTAGTCAATTAAGATTGGAGTCGAGTGCACCCGCACGAGCGGGTTCGAACTCACAACCTCAGTGTTGACTGGCTAGTGATTACAGTAGTAACTACACTGTAAATATACCTGACGCCTGACGCGCCCGGACGCGTTCAAAATTTGTACACCGAATGTTCAATATTTTAACGTCATATGTTCATGCTTAGAGACGTGTTCAAAGTTTTAACGTTTGTGTTAAAAATATTAACATGTGTGTTCAGACGCAGTGAACACCGGTGTTCAAATTCTGATCTAAAAAAGAAGATAGTCGTTTGTCCGATTTTCTATCCTTCCAATTGGCAAATTCAAAAAGAAATTCTTTAAAAAATATGAATGTATACGCAGAATGATGGTCTTGTGAATTTTTGGCTAATATTTTAGTAAATGTGAAATATTAAACTTCCAAGCTGGCATATATGTATAGTTTATGAATTTATTTTATTATTTATTTATATATACTAGTTTTACTTATAAGTGACATAATTATGCATATCAATGAGGCCTGTTATGATAATATCGTAATACAAATATATCGATGTTTATCTTATTTCATGATCCGTTCATTTTATTAACATTACATGTTCAATCAGTGTTCAAATCGCTCGAAATTTTGAACACCTCGTGTTAAAACAAATATACCAGGATACCAAATACCGGAAACAGATATCGGCTGGCGATTTAGGCGGTTAAACGAAGAATGGATACACATAAGAAAGAGAACTGGAGAAGGGACTTCTATCCCATATGAACACGAAAGAAGTAAGTAACAAGTTAGAATAATCTCCATAGGTAGTTCGATGGCTTCCTTGTTATTTTCTCATGCCAGATATATATTTGTCAAATATTCATAACTGTTATATTCAAATTTTCAATATTCAACATAAAAGACGAATTAAAAACGGGCTTTAGATATAAACGTAAATAACTGTCAGCTTTGTTCTGATGATTTCCTAAACTGATGAATAAACAGTCTGTCTGTTATACATAATAAATAATGATTTTCGACATCCACATACATTAGCTGAACACTAAGTGTTAAGAACTCTAACATCAAGTGTTAAAAAATGAAACACAAAGGCATTAAAAACTGAACACCACACATTCAATTGATGAACACTAAGTGTTAATAACTCTAACATCAAGTGTTCAAAAATGAAACACAAAGGCATTAAAAACTGAACACCACACATTCAATTGATGAACACTAAGTGTTAAGAACTCTAACATCAAGTGTTCAAAAATGAAACACAAAGGCATTAAAAACTGATCACCACACATTCAATTGATGAACACTAGTGCAAACATTTGGAACACCATTTTTGACTTAGAAAATGCATTTGTTTTTTTTATTTGCAGGAATCGTTAGATTAAAATGTTTGAATTAGGAACCGGTAGCCAATAATCCCAAAAAGGTCATTTCTGCATGCTATAAAGTGGTGGAAAAAAGAAAGATGTCGAAAAAAGGTATGACAATATATGTATATTAATAGCTTATGTGGGTGTATCATTTCTATCTGTTCACCTTAGGTCAAGAAATCGACTTTTGTAATTTATAATGTCAAAACTTGCATTTCATTGCTATAGAATATCAATTTGTACACTAGTATATATCGACATTAAAGCATAACAAGCATTGCATAATTTGATGCTTTATGAAAAACTCTCTTCTATAAATTTTTAATTTTATTTTGCAGGATATATAGGCTCATAGACATTCCTTGTTGTGGAGGATTTTGAAATTGGAAGTTGATAACAACACATAAAATGCCACCCAGTTGATAGCTTTAAGTGAAGATGCACTGAAAAATGGAGCGTACATTGTATGTGATCGTACAAGAACTGTTGGAATTTGCAAACTTTTAAACTTTCATTGTGACAAATACCTATATCATAAACTATCTAATTATCACATTGACATGCTTTTTTGGTTAGGATACAAATGATGTTGCAACTATCTAGTCATGTAGGGGAAAATCATTATTTGTGATATATATTAAGTCAGTTTAAAAACATTATGTATGTGATTTCACTGACTGTTACTTGTGATATCATAAGGTATCTGGTGTACTTTTCTTACATATAATATGCTCATTTGATTACATAAAGAATTACTTGTTAAAATATGTTTTATTGTTATATTTTGCCTGATTGAATATAGTTTTTATAACAGTTTATTTAAGTTGAGTACTTATGGAAAATTATGTACGCTTGAAAATAGAACATGTTCCACATTTGAACACCATCACTTTGAACACTTATGTCAACTGTTCTGAAAGTTAACGTCTGGTGTTATGAATCTTAACACTTTGGCTTTAAACATGTTCTATGTGTTCAAAAAGTGTTACATGGCTGTTGAACGCGTCGACGTATTAAGATTTTGAACATTCGGACACGTTAAATCGTTGAACACTAAGTGTTAAGAACTCTAACATCAAGTGTTCAAAAATGAAACACAAAGGCATTAAAAACTGAACACCACACATTCAATTGATGAACACTAGTGTAAACATTTGGAACACCATTACACGTTCAAAAAGTGTTACAAAAAAGCGTTCAAGCAGTGTTCTATTTATTAACACTTAGATTTACAGTGTACTTAGACCACTCGGCCACCGAGGCCCCTGAAGATGTTACGATGATATAAACTGTTCATTTGTTTGGATATTATGATGATATAATTTCACGGTACATTTGTTGAGATGTTACGATGATATAATTTGTACATTTATTGAGATGTTACGATGATATAAAATATGTACATTTTATTTAAAATGACTGCATGTGCAAATGTTAAGATGTATATATAATATCTTTACATCAGTAAAAGTGCAAATACATTACATTTATAAAGATATATATATATATATTTACTGTTTTTATTACACTTTAAACTTTTTCACGGATGTACAGTTTATACGCATCTCAACGGATGAACTTTTCATACACAGCTTTACAGATATACAGTTTATACGCATCTCAACAGATGTACTTTTCATACACACCTTTACATATGTACAGTTAATACGCATCTCGACGGATGAACTTTTCATACACATCTTTATAGATATACAGTTTATACGCATCTCAACAGATGTACTTTTCATACACAGCTTTACAGATGTACAGTTTATACGCATCTCAACAGATGAACTTTTCTTAATATACAGCTTTACAGATGTACGGTTTATACGCATCTCAACGAATGTTCTTTTCATATCCAGCTTTACAGATGTACAGTTTATACGCATCTCAACGGATGTACTTTTCATATACAGCTTTACAGATGTACAGTTTATACGCATCCCAACGGATGAACTTTTCATATCCAGCTTTACAAATGTACAGCTTATACGCATCTCAACAGATGTACTTTTCATATACAGCTTTACAGATGTACAGTTTATACGCATCCCAACGGATGAACTTTTCATATCCAGCTTTACAGATGTACAGTTTATACGCATCTCAACGGATGTACTTTTCTTATCCAGCTTTACAGATGTACAATTTATACGCATCTCAACGGATGTGCTTTTCTTATCCAGCTTTACAGATGTACAGTTTATACGCATCTCAACATATGTACCTTTCATATATAGCTTTACAGATGTACAGTTTGTACGCATCTCAACGGGTGTTCTTCTTTTAATATACAGCTTTACAGATGTACAGTTTATTAAATACGCATCTCAACGGATGTACTTTTCATATACAGCTTTACAGATGTACAGTTTATACGCATCTCAATAGATGTAATTTTTTGTCAAGCTTTACAGATATATACATTTTATACGCACCTCAACAGATGTACTTTTCATACACAGCTTTATAGATGTACAGTTCATATGCATCTGAATAATGTACTTTTGATATACAGCTTTACAGATATATACATTTTATACGCATCTCAACGGATGTACTTTTCTTATCCAGTTTTACAGATGTACACTTTAAACTTTTTCACGGATGTACAGTTTATACGCATCTCAACGGATGAACTTTTCATACACAGATTTACAGTTATACAACTTTATAGAATTGAAGACTTTTATTGGTTTTACAATTTATTGACCATGATAATTCTTAACACACACCCTCAATATAGCACAATAGTCACATTGCAACATGTCAAAATTATTTGAATTTAAAATAAATCAAGCCAAACATTGTATTATTGAGTGGCTCTTTATAAATAAGGCAACAGTAGTATACCGCTGTTCAAAGTCATAAATCGATTGAGAGAAAACAAATCCGGGTTACAAACTAAAACCGAGGGAAACACATCAACTATAATAGGAATACAACGGAACAACAGAAACACTAAAGTGCAACAAAAACAAATGCCAACATACATAGAAACGGACTATTTGATAACAACTGTCACATTCCTGACTTGGTACAGAACATTTTAAGAAAAAAAAAAAAATTCAAATGTTACTTTCTAATGTATGACATTTTATGGGTATCACCCTTTGTATTAGCTTACAAAAATCAACCTCACTATGACTTCGCAAAATTTGACAATATTCAAGTTTCCTATATCTATGACTCAACATACAGGAAATATATAAGTACTATTTACAATTGTCGGATTTTAAAACTGCCCTTAAACGTACCTCTTTTAAATGACATATAGTTCCGGAAAAAACTTTATATACGCATGCAATCAAGATCATTCATTAAAATTTTGGAATACGATTATCGTCATCATATATACTCAGAAATTAACAAATTAATAAACAGAATTATATGTTTCAAGCACAACTTTTGAAATCCGACTACTGAGTAAAGTTCTGTGACTGATAATTAGAGAATGGCGGGTTCCATAGCTGATATTCCACCGATGGTTATTGGAGGGAGTATCATTAGTGTCGTATCATTGATTCTACACATTGTAGGGTTTGCCACTACGTATTGGTTTAGGGATAACAATGACAGTAACACCTTTAATCACTTTGGATTATGGAAATCTTGTCGAGTTTTTGGAGGGAACCAAAAGTGTGATGACATTAAAGGTAAATATTTTACGTTATTGGCCGAAATTATTCTTTTCCTTGTAATGCAGATTCACTATTTTTGAAAATATTCATTTGCATTTAAAAAAAAATAGTTGTAGTGTCAAATACAAAAGAAAAACAAAACAAAAAAACTGTGAAGTGGGAAGCTTCGCGAGGGTTGTATTTCGTTTATTTTGCAATAAAAACAAAATTGCTAAAAATTTACCCTGACTTTCGTACATTTGTTCTTTTTACATTAGTAACAAAAGAGAAGGGTAAAACTGGCTGACGTCTGTCCGTCCTTACATTTGTATTTCGTTTATTGTTTTTTACATAAATTAAGCCGTTAGTTTTCTCGTTTCAACTTTTTCACATTTCATCATGTCGGGGGCTTTTATAATGTTTTATAGATGACTATATTTTCCCAGAAATGTAGAATTGGTGTCTGAGCAAAACATTAATGAGCCATGCAGGATAAAATAAAGATAAATATTCAGTGTCTACTTTATAAATAACACAATATTGTGTCTTGAGCTATAGATTCTAGGTGCTAAAGTGTTCTAGGAAAGCTTGCTAACATCTTTCTTGGTAGGCTAAGAGGAACATACAATAACAAACGTTTCTCATCAAATTTCTATTCTAGTTCTAAAATCTAATTACAAAACAGTATCCGCAACATAATATATGCAAGAAACTATGCAAAGAACAATAACTCTATGAAAAACCACTGACCATGCCAATCTACATTCTAACATCCCCGCCCAACAAAAAACCAATCCAATTTCTTTCAGATGGTCAGTGAGAATTCAAAACATTCAAAACATTATAATTATGCAAATAAATCAATAATCATCAAATACTACTACTTTCGAAGACTCAAACACCATGCTATACTACCATTTGCATGGTATATTTAGACTCACAGTAAATATATATATCAACAATGTGAATAACACTGCAACATGTATGTATACCCTTAGAAAATGAACAACACTGCAAACTAAGCATGTTTTCAACGGTATTAATGAAAATTCATAAATATACGGATGATTTTATGAGAGTACTCTTTTATTTTGTTTTCTCATTGAACTGTAAATTCGTTATCTCAAGGGAAATTTGTCATTATTTTACATGTGTAAAACAGTCGATCATCAATAATCAAAAATTTAATATCATTTGTACACAATAAATTGAACTAAAAAAAAAGCATATAAACAAAAACACACACACACAAAAAATCATATTTTATACTTTCCTTTTCTTATCTTTTCTTCTGTTCTTCTTTTCTTTATTTTTATGTTTTTTTTTTATAATTTTAACTAGCTACTTTACTAAAAAGCAATTTAACAAATAAAGAAAATCAACCTATGCTAAAACACAAACTAACTGCAAAAACTAATTGATAACTATAGAGTCTATGATATGGAAATGCAATCATTTCTACTAATAATGTCAACATATCAATTAACTTAGTAAATTTCAAATGCTGTATAAAGTCCATGAAAAGAATGTAACATTGTCTATACGTCTTATTCTATAACTGAAGGTGGTCTTTTGATTATAGATTGTTTTGCGGCTTCATTCAACTGATTCTCCACGGTCCATATCGCATTTTGTGCAGGTTCACCTTTATATTGCACTAATGCTGAGTTCACACGTAATTCGAATTCGATTCGCATTAACTAATTCGAATTAGTTTAATTCGCATTCGAAACGTTTTACGTCCTAACGTCAATTCTAATTCGAATTGCAATGCGCGTCAAATTCGCTTTACTGTCCAAACGTCGTTATCTTTTAATTCGCATTATCAATTAATAAATTGATTGATTTAAAAAGATTTAAAACAAAAACAAAAAAATATTTTAGGGCTAATTGCGTCTCCAACCTTCTTGCTCTTATATGGATTATTTCCCTTTTCAGTATTTAAACAATTCAAGATGTGTTTTATTTGTAAGCTAATTTTTCATACCTTTTAGCTTTATTCTATTCAGTATTTATATATTGAGTAATATTGACATTTGAGTTCCTTTATTTATTTAAATTTTACCACAATTTGCAATGTTATTCACTTTTGCTTACCATTTTGAAGGAAGTTGTTTAAATAAAATATAATAATAATGTTTACTGTAAGTCTTACTATAAGCATTCCGACAACCGTGCATAAAGAAAAAAAAAATCACTCTCACATTACCAGACGTGTCTTAAGATAAGCAAAACAAAGAAAAAGCATTGGCTGACTAGTATGTATAAGTTGTGACACGAAGCCTTTCTGTGACATTTTTCTATTCAGACTGGTATAATGCACTTTCATGTCAGGGTTCAATACCGATTGGATTGAAATTTGGATTTTCATATAAAATAAATACTTTTTGACACAAATCAACTAAATTATACCTCGCTACCAATAATAAATCAATTGATTAGAAAGATAAAATTAAAAATTCAATACATTTGAAGAAGAAACAAACTTTATGTGTCTTACAATGAATGTTCTTTGGAGAAATATTTGAGACTAACAGTTTCTGTGATTACTAAACACTGTTTGTCAACTAATAAAAAATCTAAACATTTCCCGAAAATTACGAACATTATTTGCCCATTTCTCAAATGTTTCGGCAAGAGCGCTGATCAAGTCTTTTATTCAACAACGCACGTTCGGCGCAATTTATGCCTGGAACTTTGATATATTGTTTCTGCTTCGCCTTGATCAATTCAAAACAACAAAATACCCCTATCTTGGTTATTCCGCTCCGCAGTTACCGCAGTTACTCAGGGAGGAAAATATTGTGATACAGATGTTGAAATGTTTGTGAAACAGTAATGAATGACTATGTTCTGTTACACCATTGGCAAAGGCTGGGGAGGGTTGGGATCCCGCTAACATGTTTAACCCTGTCACATTCTGTATGTATGTGTCTGTCCCAAGTCAGGAGCCTGTAATTCATGTGTTACATATTTGTTTTTCGTTCATTTTTGTACATAAATTAGGCCGTTAGTTCTCTCGTTTGAATTGTTTTACATTTGTCAATGCAAGGCCTTTTATAACTGACTATGCAGTATGGGCTTTGCTCTTTGTTGAAGGCCGTATGGTGACCTATAGTTGTTAATTTCTGTGTCATTTGGTCTCTTGTGGAGAGAACTGTCTCATTGGCAATCATACCACATCTTCTTTTTCATATGACGTTGTATATGACGTCACAAATGACGTGTGCTGTATTCCTTGCAAGACACCAATATGGAGCACTTCGATCGCAAAAAAATGTTCAGCTTTGTTCTTTGTATTATCATGAGACTTGTTTTTTCTGTGTGGATACAAGATAAGAGAATGAAGAGGAGAATGGTGCTACAAAATCAAAGACAGAGGAGAAAACGGCATTTTTTTCGATCTTTGCAGCGAAGGCGAAAAATGGCATGTATGTTGTTTGTTGATCTTGCTAGAAAGCCATGCACAGAAAGAGCGCTGTGGGCAAAAGAAAGAACAGTTGACATTTACAACGATGCAATAAGTGTTTGGTCAGATTCGGATTGGAGGCACCATACTAGAATTTCGAAGGAAACATTTAGTTTCTTGGAAGAAGAGCTAGGACCTCATATAAAAAAGAAGGATACAGTGATGCGATCGGCTGTTCCTGTTGGCAAAAGACTTCTAATGACTCTTTGGTATCTTGGTACACAGATGGACTTTCGATCTTTGGCTGCATTATTTGGAGTAGGAAAATCGACAGCGTGTAATATTGTACACGAAGCATGCATGAAAATGAGACAAGTTCTTACTAAAACATTCGTAAAATTCCCAAGAAACCAAGCGGCTGATGAAGTAGTAAGCGGCTTCGCCAACTTAGGATTCCCACAAACCGTTGGTGCTATAGACGGCACGCACATACCTATAATTGCGCCTGCTGAGAACTCGAGCGACTTTTACAACCGGAAAGGTTATTACAGTATAATTATACAGGCTGTGGTAGATCATTCTTATAAATTCATAGATATACATGTCGGATGGCCTGGAAAAGTTCACGATGCGCGAGTGTTCAGACATTCTTCCCTTTTTGAAATTGGAAACCAAGGATTTTTCCCAGAGAAGGTGTTAAATCTAAATAACACACAGGTTCCTATTCACTTGATAGGAGATGCCGCCTACCCACTTCTACCATGGTTAATGACCCCGTTTAAAGGAAAACTATCGGAAATACAAGAAACATACAACTACAAACTATCTAGTGCAAGGATGGTCGTAGAAAATTCTTTTGGCCGATTAAAGGCCCGGTTTAGAAGACTACTCAAGCGATTTGATGGGCAGCTTCCATTTTTGTTGGATGTTATTGCAGACTGTGTTATTCTCCACAATATTTGTGAAATCAACAAGGACGTCTGTATCGAAGAGTGGTTTGATGAAGAAGTGACAAGGGACGTTGAAAATGCTAGGGCTATTTGCGGAAATTTCGAAGGACAAATAGGTGATGCTAAAAACATAAGAAAAGCGATAGCAGAGTACCTGTTTCAGTGAACGTAATCGTATGAAACTTTATGATCGAGAAAGTATCAATTTGATGACATGTAATTTAGATTTAACTTCATAATATGCTCTGATAATTTAAAACTCAGAATATGTACGATATTTTACATTAAAATAAATTAAATATGTGTATATCTAATAACGCCAATTTTACACTTTTCCAAAAATACACAATTTATCCATTTCGAAAAAGTATTGTTCATTTGTACTCAACTTTTTTTTGTCGGTCGGTACAAAGTCATGTTTATTATTTGTTGTTTTCGTTTGTTTGTGTCGTAACTCTTCATTATGGATACATAGGTTATTTCACGGCAAAAATAACTCACTGCAAGTTGTATATAAGAAAGAAAAAATATAACGGTATTTGAGATTTTTAAACCCTCTATGGACAGATGTATTTAGGTTGAACAATTTTACCAATTGGGCAGACAAAAGGTATGTGTGCTTAGTGACACTGTGTTCTGCAGCCGGTTGTACGAACGTGGCATTAGCCTAATGGGTC